CAACACGGAACTTCGCCTTACACCCCCTGCCTCAATTCATGTATCAGCCCTTTGCGTTCTTTGTCCACATTGCTATCCAACATTGTGTAAACCAACAGCAGATCATCGATTGCGTTTACGAGGGAAGCGGACCAGCTAGCCTTAGTGACATCTAGCAGCATCAGGTTCTTAAGTGGAAGCAGAGGATACGGGAGAAGAAGGAGCTAAAGAAGACTGAAAGAGGAGAATTGAGCAAATGTGGAAGTCCAGTGAGGGGATAGCTAATGCATACTATGGGATGTGAACTATGTACACTTTTGGTAGGCTAACTGACCGTGGATCGAATCCATATGAGGTATGTAGCGTACGAGGAATTGCGAGGAATTTCTCAGGTAATTGGAAACTTTCTTGAAGTAAGCAGAATTGAGACACTCGTGAGGAAGTAGATTGAGACCATAGTAACTCGACTATGTGACTCGCACGCAATTCTACCTATCATGTATTACGATTGACGAACTGGTTTCAAGCCAGCGCTCGCACCGATTATTAAGGACGTGCAAAAGGTGAGGCAGTTGCTCAATGCATTTCTACTTTAAATGGACGCGCGTTAGGTGTTGTCACATGTGGGAGCTTTTGGCGGTTTGTGGATCCCGCCCGGACACCCCCCACCAGAGAACGCATCATCACCGTGGTGTGATCTTTCCCCTCCAAAACGTGAAGCATGATGCCAGGCTGTTTCGCACTAATAGCATATGATAAGCATTGATGACCTCCTTGGCACAGAAGCTTAGCAACGATCTCACGCTAGGACGGGGACGGCGTGATCGAGACCGCGGTGGGCCTGTCGACTCGCCAATGGCTAAACATGAATAGCATCTGGCGCCAGACTTGTCAGCCCTGCAGCAAACTCACTGACGCTTTATGGTTCTCCTCACCACAACAATTGTGTCGCAAGCTTCATAGCCCGTGCTCTAGTCGGTTTTACCTAGGGCAAGCTTCGACAGACCGTCGGAGCGATACTGGGAGAAGGGCTCGCATGGGATTAGGCCGAGTAGGCGGACGAAAAGAAGTGTGCAACGCAACAACAGCCTAGCGACCCAGCATCGGGGATCCGCATAGGTTGATCCGCGTATGGTGTGCATCGTGTAGTGTGAGCACGGTGCCTCCCTCCGCGGGTAACTTTCTTGTATAGCTGGCGACGACCCCAAGCATTGCTGGCCTAGCTCTTCCGCGCACGACTTGTCTTCACTCTTCAAGCTGCATCTGAACATCAATCTTCAGAGGCTGTTGAGGATACTCGACATTTCCCACATACAAAGGGTCTCCACTCTACGTCGCTCCATCGTGTCGCAGACCCCGTGTTCCCTTGACGACTTGGCAGCCAAGAGCATTGCGGCTCTTGAACAAGCCTTCTGCGCAACCCAAGATGTACGTAACTGCTGATCCATCATTCAATCCATCCATTCCTTCGCGCCCCACAGGCTCCCCGACTGCTGTCCGCCGTGCGCCCGTCAAGTTAGCATCCATGGGGCGGCGCCGTGCACGATGGCTTGTCTTTGCTCACGCTAGAGAGCACTGCCACCATCACCATCGTCGTTCCCCGCGTGGGACCGCGAGAAGGCCCCATATTGCCACTCTTACGCAGAGCCGTCCGCAATGCTGACCAAGGGTGCGCGCTATCCAGTTGCTTCCTATCGCCGTTGTCTAGTTGCACCACCACAGCCCCCCGTCCATCTGAGACAGTTGCGCGTCGCCGTTGCGTGCGCCAGCCCTGAAGCGACCGCCCGAGAACCACAACATCATACGCCGGACACCTGACCGCGTCCTTCATCGTCCCCGTTGCGCCTACCGCCGTGCCTAATCACGCCAGCTCGTTTCTGCGATTCACCCGTCGCCAGCCAGCCAGCCAGCCAGTCGCGCGTGCTTCCTGATACCGGTACCTACACCTCACACCCCTGCGCAATAGCCCTTCTCGGCCCTTCCAGCGGCGAGCTCGGTTTGGCGCCTCTGTATAGTCGCGAGGGCTCCCCCAGACAGTTGTCGATATCGCGGGTAGCCGCATGATGTGCGTGGTACACGGAGTATGACTTCCAGCCAGACACGTACACCCGCCACTCCGTCCTCTCCAGTGTCGAGCAGATCGTTTCTATCTCGGCTCAAATCGCCCTTGACCTCCAAGACTCGCTATTACACCGAGTTTTATATCCAGTCTGACGACCCGCATCGGCATTACACTCCAGGAGATATCATCAGCGGAACTGTCATTATCAAGATTGTCAAACCCCTGAGAATCACTCATTTGGTCGTCTCCCTACATGGCTACGCCCAGGTGTTCAAGAACCCAAATACCCCGGGGGACGCGTACAAGAACTATTGTTCAACAGTCGGCTCTGGGAGAGGAAAGAAGGCAGGCAGTTACTTTGGCAATGGGTTCGTTTCGCTGTTCGAGGACGAGGTTGTGCTTTGCGGCGAGGGGAGACTGTCCGAGGGCGTGTACCACTTCAATTTCGAACTCGAGTTTCCGTCCAAAGGCTTGCCCAGCAGCATCGACGTAAGCAATAATCCAGTGCTGTAATTGACCAACACGCTGACAATAAGGTACAGTTTGAGCGCGGAACTATTTCCTATATGCTCAACGCTACCTTGACCCGCCCCACTACCATGTCTCCGACCGCGTCATGCGATACGAAGGTTTACCTTACCGAATCAGTCGACATCGCACCCGTACCGCCGCTAAAGCCCCGTGTCATCTCATTGGAACCTATATCTAGACGAACGCGTGCTAGGTCAACGCGGAAACGGCCAACCGAGGAAGCATCACAAACACCTTCTACTTCAGAACCTCCGCCAGTAGGGTCTTCTTTGGAAGCAACAAATACTATCGAGGAGACAGAGGGTCTACGAAGCCCCTCACCTAGCGACGTGAGCTATGAGAGTCAGAGGAGTAGCGGGAACGCTTCTGGCACTGAGTATGGCATTCGCTCAGTCAACACAGCTACAGATGGATCGGGCTCACAGAATGGAAGCCGGACGACCCTGAAAGGAAAGACGATTACAGCTACAATCGACGTGCTCAAGGGAGGCTTTCTTAGAGGCGACCAAATACCGATTAAAGTGACCGTAAACCATACAAAGCACATACGGAGCCTGAAAGGCATTATCATCACGCTGTATCGTCAAGCGAGAGTTGATATGCATCCTGCACTACCTGTTGTACCCAACAGCAAAGGCGACAAGACCAAATCCGAAGATTACTATCCAAAGTCAAGAACTGGATTGGGGGGCTTGTCGCTCTCATCGGCTGGATCTAGTCATTTGTTTCGCAAAGATCTATGCCAATCGTTCGCACCGCTCTTCGTCGATCCTAGGACGTTAATGGCCGAAGTGAAGTGTACAGTGCGTGTGCCCGATGAAGCATTTCCCACAATATCAAATGTTCCGGGCGCAATGATATCCTTCAAATACTACGTCGAAGTAGTCGTGGATATACAGGGCAAATTGACAGGCCTCGACCGAATGGTATCTAATGCTGGACTTGTCAACCTACCTTCAGCAGCTGGTGGTACCTCGGCTATGGCACGCGACGATGCTACTGGCAGCATGTTCTCGACCTGGGGCGGCAATTTTGTGGATACCGATCAGATTCGTCGCGAAAAGGGCATCGTTTCTGCTTTGTTCGAAGTTGTTATCGGTACCAGGGATAGCGATAGAAATGGCAAGAAGAAACAAACTCAAGAACAAATGGTCGACAACAACGGCGCCTATGGGGAGCACATGGAGCCGAACGCTGAACACGGCTACGATCAGTACTATTACGAGCAAGACGAGAACGGACAGTATTACGATTACAACTACGATCCAACGTATTATGAAGTTCCTGGGTACGAACAACATAGTACAAGTGGAGCTGCATCCTTCCCGGTACCTGCAGCTGTTCCCGAGGAAGAACAAGGAATGTCAGAGAAAGAGCGATTACGAAGAGCAGAGGAGCGTTTATTGCCTTCTCAGCCGCCTGATAATGCCGGACCATCTGCGCCTTCAGGAACGGTCCAATACGGTATACCAGCGTCGGCGCCATTGTTACCGGAAGACGACGATCCAAACCCCCCTTATGTCGCAGCATCTTCGTCTTCTTCCACTCCGGCGCATCCCCCACCCCCATTCCGTGCTGCCTCATCGCCATTATTATCGTCGCGCACAACTCCGGCACCGCTTTTGCAGCGTCGTGTTACGAACATTACGGACGATGAGACAAGAACCATAAGGACTGAATCCTCGCATACCATACATCCAAATCGCCTAGAACCATCCACTAGTGAAGATAACAACGACCAGTCGAAACCACTACCGCCGCTACCACCGCAGTCACCCAGCACAGTACAAGGGTCGGCGCCTGAGTACGTCGCTAGCTCATCATCACATGTCGAACCAACCGACGACAAGCAAGAGATGACACGGCGGAGACTGGAAATGGAAAGAAGCGCGCCCCCTACGGATCATGATGAAGATGGGGAGCCATCGCACGCTCCTTCAGCACCGCCGCTAGACAGAATGCAAAGCTTACAGTTGGCACCTTCGGCACCTATGCTGAACGACGACGACGAAGATCTGGTAGGTGCTGTGCGTCCAGGCCGAAGTACGCAAGGTACGCTACAGGACCACAGACGGGAAAGCGAAGCCTTGCCGGAGTACCGGAGGTGAAATGCATGATGTTGGCGTTTATGGTGTTTGGGCAGTGACTGCATAGACTTGAGCGTTGCGCGTAGCCTGAGTCTACCTGGATGATATGGTAATCTTTTTCAAAGCGCAAGACGATTGGAATGTGTTGGGTGGTTTGTTATTATGATACCTGGAATCGAATTATATTATCTTCATATCTGGTGTCTACTTTACTAGCACATTTTATTGTTGTTTTGAAGTGACTTTGCCCTCAACGCTTCGAATGGAAAACCAAATCCTGTAAAGGAGTGCTGTTCTTGCAAGAAGGTTGCATGCCGTTGGTGTTCCTAGACGTATCAGGGTCACTTCATTTCTCTCAGTCGGCGATCAATCACCGCCTCCAGATCACGAGAGTGCGCATCGTAGATCTTTTGCAAGCTTGCCAACTGCTTCCTCATAGCGGTTTCAATGGCAGCCTTTTGGTCCAAGAGTTCTTGGAGGCGTTTGAGCTGCGCTTGGTGGGCTGTTGTACTGAGGTATTGTTAACCTACGGGGTTGCACTATCTCTTTAACACTGCGTGACCCACATCTCTGTTACATGTGTGTCAAAGACGGTGTTTATGGAATCTTCGACGCTTTGGTAATGGTTGTTGTAAGCTCTACCTACGTTGTTCTTTGACGCGTCGTACCGCTTGCGTTGCTGCGCGCAGAATTAGCATGCTGCTTCTCAAAGCCTGCTAATCAGGCGTGCTATGCCACTGGTAGGAATGTAGAGACGGTGGTATGTAGTTGATGATTCCATCTAACATACGTCGTCTACCATTTTCGCCATCAGGTGGTCCAGCGGGCCATCGGAGGTGTTCTGCGATGCTTCCGTTTTTTCGTGTGTTGCATTCATATCGCGACCCACACCATTGGCTTCTGCAGAGTTTTCGAGCTCCTCTGTTTCATCGGTAATCTGTCTTCGAGACTGCTGTGCGCTCCGGCGAATGGTGGCCATGGAGGCGGTCATGAAAGTGGATTTCTCGGGTGCGCGCGTCGGAGCCATGGGTGCTGGTGGTGAGTGCTGAGAATTAGTAGCGTAGATCAAGACTGCGATTGATTGAATCGTTATCGAAGCATTATTCCTTGCTTCAGCTCAAGTGGTGAGAGCTTGCCAGTTAGAGAGCAATGGTTGGAGCCTTGGAGATGGGGGAGATGGCTTCCCCACATAGCGCCAAGATTCCGCGCTAGCGGGCATCCACAAATTTTTGGTCGTGTTTGCGGACTCCCGCCTTTCCCTTCGACAATCGCAATCTCGTCCAGTCTGTTCAGTATTTACCATGGGTCTCGCAGCGCCGAAGAAGTATGTCTGCCAGTTTGGCTTCGGCCGACCTCCACGAAACTAACACAAGACCAGCCGAACGAAGATCTCCAACGATCCCCAGAACACTAACTGGGCAAACAACACCTCGCGCTTCGGCCATCGCATATTGACCTCGCAAGGATGGCAGCCCGGAAACTCTCTCGGTGCGACGGATGCCTCCCATGCTGCTCATTATACCGCCGCCTCGCAATCGCATATTCGCGTGTTTCTCAAAGACGATAATCTTGGTTTGGGCGCAAAGCGAGGGAGTGAGCGCGCGGAAAACTTTGGTCTTGCAGGACTAGAGAGCATTCTTGGGCGTCTGAATGGCAATGAGGCCGAGGTCAAGAAGGAAGAAGAAAGACGAGAGGAGATTGAGAAAAGGGCGTTCGTGTACCGCAAGTACGGCATGATGAATTTTGTTAGCGGCGGCTTTTTGGTGGGCGACAAGATCACGAAGAGCTCCGATATCAAGAAGGAGGGGGAGATCAAGTCTGAGATCAAGTCTGAGCCAGAGAGCGACGACGGCGCATTGGATAAGAAAGATAAGAAGAGGAAGCGCGATGACCGCACCGACGACGAGCTCAAGGTGAAGCGCAAGAAGAAGAGCGAGGACTTGCGCGACGAAGCAGAGAAGGGAAGCGACAAGTCGAAATCGAAGAAGGACAAGAAGGACAAGAAAGACAAGAAGGATAAGAAAGATAAGAAGAAGGACAAGTCGAAGAAGTCAAAGCGCGCGTCCTCATCAGACGCGGAATCCTCCACCGACGATGTCGCTGCTCCGGCATCTGACCCCGAACCGCTTACGGACAAGGAGCAACGGAAAGCTGAGAAGAAAGCACGCAAGGAGGAGAAGAAAGCGAAGAAGGCTCTGAAGAAAGCAGCCAAGAAAGCAGCGAAAAAGGACAGCTCGGACGACTCCAGCTCTGAAAGCGAGGAAGACGAGAGCACGCCGACAACGATCTCGTCGGTTCCTCTGTCAAAAACATCCACACCGGTACCTGCCGGTCTATCATACACTCCAAGAGGCATGCATGCTGTTAGGCAGAAATGGATCCGTCAGAAGAAGGCTGCGACTATGGATGCACAAGCCATGAAAGAGGTATGTCTACATTTTCCAATTGTTACTTGATCTCTGCTAATACGTTTGTAGATTTTTATGATTAAAACACCATCATAGATTCCTTCCATCCGAACTGTACATGCATAGCGAGGAGTTATTGGATTTGGTTTTTGGGCAGGCACTTGCTAGAATCATATTTACAATCTGGAGATCATTATACCGGTCATACGAATACCTGCCACCGACGACAAGTTTAGGCTATAGTCTTGATGCTTGTGCCTCGATTGCGTTGCCTGTTGTGGCTGTGCCTCGCGTCAATGTCGGATTCCGACGATTTGTCGGATCCCGACGGCTACGTCGTGCTATCGTGCTCCTTGCGGTTTACAGTTAACATGATGTGAAAGTTCCCCGCATCTAAACTATCAGTCTCTAGTGCCATGCCACTGGGCCGCTTTTTCAGCTTACTGCGGCTGCGAAGGACGAGTGCGGAAGGGCAAGGGGTCGCCTTGATATTGTTGTTCGCGTGACTGTGTCGAAGAATGCGAAGCAACTGCAGCCCACGACTGCGCCAACGTCCAGCACTACGTCGTGTTACGCAGTACAGACGTAATGCGAGATGGTGACGGCAGTGCATGTCTTGGAAATGTCCGCGCAGCCATAGGGCGGTTCTAGAAAACAGGGATGTAAGATTAACCCCGACAGTTCCTGCATGGTGGAGCTGATCAACTAGTCCGCCGTAGACTTAGCCCATGTATAATGACCTCGCCCAAGTTTGGTACATGGCCCGACCGTTGAGCACGACGCCTCCTTTGCCATTGGCAGTTCCCTAATCCTTCCACTCACGTTCTCTTGTTGCTTTCACTTTTCTTCTTTTCTCAGCCATGGCGGCAAATAGCAGCATGCGTAGGAATACTGTTGTCGCGCCACGTAAGACAACTCTTTCCAAAAGGCCCAAATCATGGCTAACCCAAACGCAGCGAGCCTTCACCCGCGCACGTCGTCGCATTCCACTCAAACACCCGAACCCTCGCCCATAGACTCGATGCCCGCGCAATTGGGCTCTAATATGCCTTCCATCTCCACCACAAAGCCGAATGGCGCTCCGGCATTGCTCAGGAAGCAGTCGTCGCCTATGATGCCTCCTTTCATGGTTTCCGCACCAGGCAAGGTCATCGTCTACGGAGAACACGCGGTAGTACATGGCAAGGTAGGTTCGATACGACAACCATGGCAAGATGGATGCTGATGTTCTCTAGGCTGCTATCGCCGCCGCCATATCGCTCCGATCCTATCTCCACGTCTCGTTTCTCTCCAAATCGAATCGGACCGTTAAGCTGCGCTTCCCCGACATACAGATGGAGCATACCTGGAACATCGACGACCTGCCCTGGGACAGCTTCTCTAAATCAGGCAAGAAGAAGTACTACTACGACCTCGTCACGTCTCTGGATCCCGACCTTATGGCCGCCATACAACCCTTTATCGATGAAGTCTCGCCAAAAGCCCCCGAGTCGATACGCAAGATCCACCATGCCTCTGCATGTTCTTTCCTATACCTCTTCCTTTCTCTCGCATCCCGCAAAGTGCCCCCGTGTGTTTATACTTTACGATCTACAATTCCCATTGGTGCAGGCCTGGGCAGCAGCGCCAGTATATCCGTCTGTTTGAGTACGGCAATGCTTCTGCAGATACGTGCACTCAGCGGACCCCATCAGGATCAGCCGCCACAAGAATGCGAGCTCAACATTGAGCGCATAAACCGATGGGCGTTCGTCGGCGAGATGTGCATACACGGAAATCCCTCAGGCGTCGACAATACCGTCTCCTCAGGTGGTAAAGCAGTCTTGTTCCAGCGAAGGGATTACGACAAGCCACCTCTAGTCATACCGCTGCATAGCTTTCCTGAGCTTCCACTGCTGCTTGTCAACACACGACAATCTCGCAGCACGGCCACCGAAGTCGCCAAGGTCGCCAACCTACGCAACGTGCACCCCGCCCTCACAGAGAATATCCTCAATGCCATCGGCTTAGTGACCGAATCTGCACACAAACTACTCACATCACCAGACTTCGACGCAACCTCCCCCGACGCACTCAAACACCTCGGCGAACTCGTCACGATAAACCATGGTCTACTCGTCTCATTAGGCGTCTCACATCCCAAACTCGAGCGTATCCGTGAAATCATCGACCACACTGGTATCGGGTGGACAAAGCTCACAGGCGCGGGAGGCGGAGGATGCGCCATTACTATCCTCAAGCCCCAGCCCCCAGCGCTGACCAACGGCCACGCAAATGGCTTACACCACGATATCTCATCTGACGAATCTGACACGTCTGATGAAGCGGATATCGACTGCGGCGCATCCATAATATCTAATGGTACAAAGCTGAAATACAAGATTCTTGACTCCCTCGAGGTAAAGCTGGAGAATGAAGGCTTTGAGAAGTTTGAAACGACGCTTGCCGGTGACGGCGTGGGTGTGCTTTGGCCTGCAGTACTACACAATGGCAATGAAGAGGAAGGTGGGGAGGAGATTGACCAAGAAAAGTTTCTTCGGGCTGAGGGCACTATCGGCATTGAAAGACTGGTCGGAGTGTCGAGTTCGAGACGGAAGGGTGTTCGAGAAGTCAGAGAAGGGTGGAAATTCTGGAGGCCCTGGGAGGTTCCTGAGCGGTAAATCTGGATCTCTTCTCTTAATCAACCTTTTTGCTGATGATGTGTTGTGGCAACGTTCAAGCAGGTCTTAGGTTTCGTCTTCTGTTCATACTTCCTTGTTTGTTTTGCTGCATGTGGGGGATCTATTATGTTTTAAGCCTCAAGGTGGCGTGAAAGGAAGGGTTATAGGATTAATGTCTTGCACATATGAGATGGCTAATACGATCCGGCTGCAAGGTGCCTGCGGTTGAACTACGATACGCCATAGCTCGGTTTAACAATAAAAGACTTGCAACATAGTGAGAAAGAGTGAATGTGGCGCACCCTATGTGATTGGGCAGCGAATTTTTAGGTAGATCGGAAGCGAGCCACGCGCGATGGTGAGCCCAACCATTGTTTCGCGCCTCAGTCAACTTTAGACCATTTCTTTCTTCCACATCACTCGACTATAAAACCCTGCCCTACTGTCAGGACCCTTGGATACATCAGCCTAGACTACGCACAAACTCCGTCTCTTTATAAACGATTGCAATCATGGCACCAGGAAAGTGGGGTACGTCATGTTCGATGCCACTGCGCGCGCTTCAAGATGGAATCGTGAAGGCTTGGGACTAACGTATGTTGCAGACGACGAAGAAGAAGGCAGCTCTCCTCCTACCTCGCCACAGGTAGCGCCTATCGCCCGCCGCAGCAAATTTGACGACGAAGAAGAAGATGACGATGTGCGTCAGCCCACTATGCCCCGCGCTTGCACGATTCAAGCCCCGCCATACAAGGCTACATGTGCTGACTATGGACACAACAGGTACTAGATTCATGGGACGCTGCGGAGGACTCAGAAGTCGAGCGCGAGAAGGCAAAGAAGGCCGCCGAGGCAAAGGCAAAGGCAGACGCAGAAGCAAAGGCAAACCACAAGTCCAAGGCGCAGCGGATCGAGGAGCACAGGCAGGCAGCACTACGCCGGCGGCAGATGGAAGAGGATGGTGAATCTGAAGAGGAAGAGACCGAGGCCGAGCGCCGCGAACGAATGCGCCAGGCAGAGCTTGACGCCTCGCGCGCCCAAGCCGAGGAACTCTTTGGCGACTTGAGCGTCAGCAACAAGACCCGTGCTGGCAAGGCCATCACCGTCACCGACGAGAGCAACCCGGGCAATGCCATCGACCTGTCCTCACTCTCCATCTTCAATCCCAACACAAAAGACCAGTTCACCAAGCTCCGAGAGACACTCACACCTCTGATTGCTGCCAACTCTAAGAAGGGACAGTACTCGCTTTTCCTGCAGGAGTTTACCAAGCAGATCGCCAAGGACCTGCCGAGTGAGCAGATCAAGAAGATTGCATCTGGCTTGACCACACTGAGCAACGAGAAGATGAAGGAGGAGAAGGCTGCTGAAAAGGGAGGAAAGAAGACAAAGGCGGCAAAGACCAAGACTACGCTCAACGCGAGCAGAGACGTTGGTGTCAGGGCAGACACGAGGGCATATGATGATGAGGACTTTGGAGAGTGAGTCATGTCGGATTCCGTAGGAGTCCTAGAGGTACTAACATATGTACAGTGACGATTTCATGTGAGGCACGACGACGCTTTATATTCACACGCCTTCCCCCGTCGCAATCTCCTCTCGAGTGCGAGACGATCACATCCTACCGAACCATCCGGTAGTCTGGAGTCGCGGATGGCGTTTTTCGGGAATGAAAAGTCAGCATGCGTCTATGGCAGTCTGCGCTTGGCCTGTCTATCTCACAATCGAATTTCGAGACGAAGCGGCATGGGTTTGACACATAGGCGGTGCATCATAGATAGATACCAGTAGATGTCTGATTCACATAATCGAGCATGATATTACGTTCAAGTTACAACGCAAAATCGATAGGGGACCGTATTGAGCATGTGAGTTGATGCCGGCCAATGCCGCGTCGCCAACCTCCGACGCATCGCAACGCGGGGCAACATGTGTTGATGGAACGTCATCCCGCAAAAAAATTGAAGCCGCAGGTCGGTCGCGGTAACCAGATTTACTGCACCAATCACGGTCTTGTTGTTTGCACGGCCTCTATGCTATTGACATGCACTTTTAGGTATCAAGTTTTTGAGGGTTCCACAGCCTTTGGCGCATCACACGTGTAGCCCGTACCCCTCCTTGAGTCACTAAGTCGAGACGCGCCTCAATCTTGTACACTACAAAACGACACACATACCCACACATCCAAGCCTGCATATCTGCTCTGACGCTGTCCGCGCATTTAGCCACCTCCACGGCAGCGACCTTGTGCCCAATTGCAATTGCCGAAGTGGACCTCGTGCCTAGCCTGTCGCAGAATTCCCCATTCAAAGCCTTGTTGAAGGGTGCACAGCGCGCGTTCGCATTCTACAAGCCCCAGCAATTGCGTGCTTGATTCAGAAAGATGGATCTCGTCAACTCGTACGTTCCGCTTGTCTCCTTTCTCCATTCTTTTCCCTACTTCTGATAAGCCTCTTCTACCACAATGGGTTACACCAATGGCGCAAGTGATAATGAGCGAATCGCGCAAAGAGCGCGCCAGGGCAGCAGGAGTCTTCCATTCATGACTGACCTCTTGGGCAACAGCTTGAACGACCGCCTGCTCTTTGCGGTGCCTAAGAGTACGTCGTCGACACACTACTGGCAGAGCTCATAGATTGACAAACATCACAGAGGGCCGCCTCCACCAAGCATGTCTTGACCTCCTCCACGGCTCCGACATCCAGTTCCACCGACACTCGCGTCTCGATATCGCACTCGTCAAGAACCACCCGCTCGCTCTTGTGTTTCTGCCTGCCGCTGATATCCCAACTTTCGTAGGAGAGGGTCGCGTAGACTTGGGCATAACAGGGCGCGACCAAGTAGCAGAACATGAGTGCGTCGCACCGCCTACTGCTACCAGCGGTGTAGAGGAGGTCCTAGATCTCGATTTCGGAAAGTGCAGTCTACAGGTACAAGTTCCTGCAAAGGGTGACCTGGCAAAGCCGGAAGACTTGATCGGCAAGAACGTTGTTACAAGCTTCACCAACTTGGCTGAGCAGTATTTCCGGAAACTAGAGGCCGAACAGGCCGGAAACACAAACGGAGAGGCCAATGGCGATGCCAAACTCAAGACAGTCATCAAGTACGTTGGTGGCAGTGTCGAGGCGGCGTGCGCATTGGGCGTCGCAGACGGTATCGTCGATTTGGTGGAATCGGGTGAGACAATGCGCGCAGCTGGTCTCAAGGCCATCTCTACAGTCGTCTCATCAAGTGCTATCCTCATTAAGTCGAAGCACCCATCAGACCCCAAGCTGGTAGAGCTGATCACAGCTCGGATAAAGGGTGTTATCAGTAAGTAGCATCAGATCTCTCGCGTGGTACGGCGTGGCTAACTTCTTCATAGCTGCACAAAAGTACGTCCTGTGCACCTACAACATCGACCGATCGAAGCTGGATATCGCACGCAAGATTACTCCCGGACGCCGCGCTCCCACCGTCAACGCGTTGGAAGAAGATGGCTGGGTGGCTGTTCAGGCTATGGTGTTGAGGAAAGATATCGCTATTGCTATGGACAAGTTGACAGAGGTTGGGGCTACCGACTTGATCGTAACCAAGATCGAGAATTCGAGAACAGGAGATTAAGCGATCTCTTTGCTAAGGCCCATGGCTATTAGAACATGGCACGCGTTTATTTCACGATGCTCGGTGTGATAGATAGGAATTAAAATAGATTGATTCCATCGAAGCAAATGATGAGCCTGGTTCTTGGACTCATAAATATGAACAATGGGCTTACAGGCTTTCCACCACCTAGAGATGTCAGCTCACAAGAAGATCATTGGTTTTGGCTTTCAGTCTTGTGTATGTGACCCAAATTCAGGTTGGTCAAGCTCATTGTATTGTGAACTAGACGGCTGCGCTATCTAGCGCTAAGGTTGGAGTTTACCCCTTATTCCGACGCTAAGGCACATATCTACAAAAACGAACATGTCCGGCCGGCTGAAATCGTCCGTCAAATGCTTGACAGCAAGGGATGTCGACGCCAGCCTGCGCGAAACGCTGCGTTTCAATTTTTTCCTACTACATAAAGCGTACCAGTGTAAGTCTTTTCATCAAGCATTCTTGGTCCAACGGTAGGATAATTGCCTTCCAAGCAATTGGCCCGGGTTCGACTCCCGGAGGATGCATAACATCCTTCTCCACAATTGCGAGATCTTTCTTTTTGTCGCTGGTCGTGATGTAGGACGATGGCACGCCACAGATGAAGCACGTGATGACCAGTCTTTTTGGGCAAGCCAGAACCACACCATCTGGGGCTACTCGCATCACACATTCGTCCTCCATGTAATTACCAGAGCAAAAGGTAAGGAGCTTTCGTGAGGAGTCGAGAAGGTCACTGCCGCACTCGGGCGTGACTGAAATGTTTACATCTGGGTACAGCCATTAGAGTAGGCATCGCTTGTATGTACGGCTCACGATATTTTGTCTATGCAGTATAAAGTACAACAGAATGGAAGGAGACAGGTTTCGTGTGTCATTACTTGTCTCAAAATCAGTGGTGAATTGTCGTCTCGTAGAAGGTCAAACCAAGACCAAAAGATTGTGGTACCATTACCACCATCAGCTTTCAATGGAACAAGCAATGAGCTCGGTCGCATCCCAGACTTGTTGAGCCGACAGCCCAGCTGGTGTCCAGTTTACAATTCGATTAGTCCTCCTCAAGTCAATACCATCCCTAGAGCAGGAGTATTGTTGTATAGTAGATGATCTTGAACTGTAGCTGTGGTATTGATATTTCGGGTATTATACTAGACTAGGAAAGCCGATTGCAAAGAAACTCGAATGGTAGCCCAGAAGACCAAAAGCACCATCACTAAACCGACATTTCGTAGAAGTTGTAATGATTTGATTGTGACAAACTAATTACAATCTCGATATTACTGATCCACGTAGAGAGCGAATACTGCAATCACCACAGGTACAAAACAGAGCAAACAATCTTACAATAACCCGTCATAAACTCCATTGCTATGCCACGCTCGCTGATCGAAAAGAGGGAAGTCGTAATTCGTCGTCGTTCGGTTATGCCAGGTCAATCTACTCGATGCTGATCTTTCGAGGCTGAGGAGCCTGGGCTTTGGGAACGAGGATGCTCAAGATACCGTTCTTGAGGCTAGCCTTGACGCTGTCTTGATCGACACGAGCAGGGAAGGCAAAGGATCGGTGGAACTCTCCGACTGAACGCTCGCTGACCCAATACTTTGCCTTGTTCTCATCATGCTTGGAGACGTCCTTGTGCTCGGACTGCTTGGCGACCTTGTTGTTGGTTTCGCTGGGGTCGTCTTCAACGGTGGGCTGGTGGCCGAGCTTCTTCTGCTGAGAGGATTCGCCGTTTTCGATGAAACCCTGAGGACGTTGGCCTTCCTCGCGGACGTGCTCGTGGCGACCAGAGATGGTCAGCGTGTTGTTGTCGGTCCATTCGATGTTGATGTCCTTTTGCTCGACACCGGGAAGTTCGCCGTGAAGCTCGTAACCCTCTTTCGTTTCCTTCACATCGAATTTGGGAGTGAAGGATCTGATGTTGTTGAATTCCCGGTCGATATTGCGGAAGGCTTGCCTATCATACTCGTCGAAGAGACGGAAGATAGGAGCGAATTCCTGAGTGAATCGTGGGAAGAGAGACATCGTCTCTGGTGTAGTGGTAAAGTGTCGAGTAGTTGTAATCGTAGGCTTGGTGATGCGGTTGAGTTGTTGAGGAGCTCGTCGGATAGTTGAGCGAAGTGATTGCATAGAAGACTTGTTGATCTTTGTTGTTCTGATGATGAACTACAGGAGCTGCCTCGAGGGCTATATATAATCGAGGGACATGGCTCTCGAATCATCGCAGAGTGCGGGGAACATTGGTGTTGCGTAAACCAAGATGTTGCAAGAAGCTTCGGAGATGGCTCGGGGAGTTTCTAGAGCTTTCGAACACGATGTTTGCCGTCATGTCTTCGTTTGCGATCAGAAGACATCGTGAGATGAGAAGCTTCCAGTAATTGGAGGAAGTAGCCGTAATGGCATGTGCCCGGAAGATCATGCTTCGAGAGGGGGCAAGCACCAACTAGAAAGTTCAGAGTAATGGCTCAGAGCAGGTCACGTGATGGTGATGCTCGAAGTTTCCAGCGCGGAAGCAACATGTGATGCAAGAGTTGTCCAAAGAACATGTCACTACCCCGCGATGGCGGAACGAGCTGCATGGTGCTGGTCTGATGAACTGTATTGATGTGTCGCTGGCTCGCCGCCCAGCAATGCGCCGCTTCGACGTGCAAACTTCGATCTGGCATTCTCCCGCTACCTGTGGATGTCTCGGATACCTGGCTCAGACCATGTTTCCAATTGATTTCTTCCTCTTCTAAGTAAGTACTCGATGGTGCCAAAATCCTTTTTACCGACGTCTCTATGCTTGTGAAACTCAGATCTACGTATCATCATCAGCCGCCACACCAACATGTTGCTCTATTGAGCTTGCCGTACCTTGCAAAATCTCGGAAATGTGACTGCGTCTCCTACAGCTGTATGAGTAGGTTGTCAAGTTGGAGGCATCTGAATAGCATACCGTTGGCTTCTGCTTCACAGCTCTTAAGCATTGTCGGTAGAGCGACAATACGTCCTTCTGAAGTCCTGATAATCGTACCATCTCGCCTAGAATCGGATGCTCCGAGTGATTGAATATTCCACACTACGTAAAGCTGCGAATGATAGCGACCTTCGAATGCAGTACAAGTGTTGGCGAACCCAGCCCTAGCCGAAGAGTAAACACTTCAAACCCGAAGTGGCTAGCGCGATAGACTAAGAATCCCTATGATGTTAGCATCGCGTGCGCGAATCGTAATATACCCAAGCAAACACAACAACGCATTCTAGCTGCCTTCATACCTCGCGAAGTTTCGTGCACGGAGATGGGGTATGGAGCGCCAGCCTCCACAACTAAACAACTACATACATAGCTGCAAATACATCCCGAACGCACGTTATGCGTATGCGTCACGTAAACAAGAACCGCGCGGCAGATAGCAGATGACACGCAAATTTCATCGAACAGTCCGCCTGGATCGAAGAATCATTGCAATAAGAATTTCAGTGATATATAGGAAGCTCAAACTACAGGTCACCACCAACCTTCCGTTCCTGTTACATTCCATGTAAGATAGCCGTCTAGAGACAATCAGGGTGCGCTGATGCTCTCAAGTGGGTTGAGTTTGACCTTGATATCATGCGGCCATACAAACCATTGTTTGTGAAGATCCCATTCTTTGCTCGGGTCTTCAAGCTCAATCTGCCGGAACGTCAGCTCTCGTGTGTCATGTTGGGGTTGGGCAATGCATACCTTATATCTACCGAACACCGTCGCAACTACTTTGTACACTTCAACCAGAGCTAATGGCCTGCCAATACATATCCTATTTCCGCCTCCGAATGACAAGTCCACATCTTTCATCTTCTTGATCCTGGCCTCGTAAGCGCCAATCTCTTCTTGTTCGCCTTGCAGCCAGCGCTCCGGCCGGAATTCATAGGGTTTTGCGCCGAAGACGCTCTCCTTGTAATGAACGACCCATGGATTCACACCGACAATTGTTCCAGGCGGTAATGTCTCTCCATTAGGTAACGCGAGACCAGTTGCAGGTACGACGCGCTCGAGAATATGGCCAACAACGGGATGCATACGGAGGCCCTCTTTGATGCATGCATCGAGGTAAGGTAGGTGCTCGATTGTGGTATAAGGTGCGGGGTACGAGAGATTTGCAGCAACGAGTTCCTCGACGAGGCGCGCTTTCGAGGCTGGTGACTTGAGGATGTGGTAGAAGATAGCCTTTATCACAATGGCGAGGGTGTCGGCACCACCGAGAATCTGTAGGGGCAGAATCAGTCATGTTCTTATCGTAACATAGCTATGGGACACTCACGTTGATGATCATATATCCAATGACCTCATTATCAGTAACAAGTTCTGGAAATTCCTTTTTTGCCTCGAGAAAGCCATTGAGGAAGTCTTTCTTCCCATCGCCAAGTTCAGGTTTCTGCATGCGTTCCATAAAGCGCTCCACGGAGAAACCGGCAGCGACAGAGAAGTCATCGAACTTGTATAGCGAGCGTGGCCAATTGGGGTTCTTTCCAAGCCATTTGTCGAGAGAGGGAATTTGACCAACCTAGATGGGGTCAGTAGAGATTCACATACTGTAGAAGTTGTGACGACTTGTCAAGCACATACTACTGAGAAGTAGCGCATCACACGTTCAGCGGTCCCGAGCATATCGCCAACATCCGTACCCTGTTCCATGAAGCCAATGCGCTTGCTCCAAGTCATATCGCCCAGAAAATCCCAAGCAAAGAATGAGATCCAGTCAGCGATATCGCATGTCTTGTCCTTTTTAGCACCTTCCACGAAGCGAGCGTCAAGTTGAGTGCATAGTGTACGCAGATCGTCGTCCATAATGCTTTCGATTTGAAGAGCATTTTGAAGACTGTACAACTTTTGAACAGGCTTGACACCTTTGGAATGGAACTCGTTGCTGCGTGTGCTGAAGATGTTCTGGATGATGTGACCGTCTTGAAGGGCATCGTTAATGGTCTGACGTGATTAGTATGATGCATAGGTATCAGTGACTGCTTGAAACTTACGTAGTAATCGCTCTGTTGTAATGTTAGCGACCATCATACATAGCATTGTCACTGTACATGCTCACCTTCAAGTACGTTCCACGGGTGTTGTAAATGGTCTTGATCAGACTAGCATCAGCAACACTAACGGTGTTGGGACCAAGACGAACGATGTCGCCATGTTGTTCGTGGAGTCGCCTCTGTGTCTCGATGTGAGTTTGTCCATAGTGATTCAGGAAACGCCAGATATCGGAGAATTTGGCTAAGAAGGGACCAGGTATAGTCTTTAGTGGTGATTGTAGATAAGCCAGAACATATCGAGTAATGAGAAGTATTGCTCCAAGGCCGATTGCCTTCGCAAGTAACCCCACCAATGCCATCGTGTCACCTTGCTATGTGCATGCAATGTGATTCATGAAAAGAAAAGAAGAATATAAGTGGGAGGGGTAACGAACAAGGTAATGTAAGTGACAACCTTGGAAGGTCTTGACCTACCATGCAGGCTGTCCACTTTATGGGGACTGTTGCTAACTACCCGCATGTTCAAACTTGCATCTGATAGATGGGGAGGTGGAGCTAGAATCCAGCCGCTCCCGTTTGGGGACCGTGGTGCGCTGAAGCCGAACGAGACTTGCCAGGGTACGGCAGGGCGCCACTTGCGTACGCCTATGGAGCAGACCTCGGGACTGCTTTTGCCCGCCACCCCTTTATCGCAATAACACGCATAACGATTGGATGTAGCAGCCATGGTGAGTATCGGGGAAGCGGATTTGCGTGCTAGTAGGGGACTGACAGCGGGATGTATGGAGTATCACTGTACTAACGGAGACTAAAAATGCAGGCTGCTGCGGAGTTGGAGGAGATGAAAGGAAAAAGAAGTTCGTTCAAACTGCAGGTTCGAACGTATTAAAGCTTTGCAAAGTGTACACCACTACACCATGAAGATCTTGATGGTGCCTGCATGAGCAATATGGACTGGCACGCGTACCATAGTCCTGGAAAGCAATCTCGAAGGATCATCTTCCTTCACTCCTTTCCGCACACGATGCTGGTCAGACCGAAATTGATCCGTCGGATGTCAAAACGCTACTAAGGGTCGTTTAACCGAAGAGAGCTTAGCTAGTACTCGACCCCAGCGATCGCTAGCGCGGGCAACGGCCCGCCACGGAAAGGCCAAAACGATTTTGTACCACCTTACCTGCATGTCATGGGATTGTTGAAGAAAGAATGAATTATTGAGATGCGATCTTGAAGCCGCTTGCGTAGCACGAACTGTCCAAGGTTTCGCGATGGGCCAGACTAACGCACAGCACAGGCTGCCCGAGGCGGGATTTGACGAGATAGGCCCTCCACCCACGGGACAAGGGACAACCGGCAGCGGCACACTGTGAGTATCGTGTATCGATTGGGCCTGAATATCACTAGTGTCGCTGCCGAACGGTGAAGGAACGCGCCCCTGCTCCCGGGGCCGCGTCGACGTTCCAGCTGGGACAGCATTCGTCGGGGCAGGGAGCTGACCGTCAGCGAATCAGACGGAGCGGGCCTAGCTATGACGAAGCCCGTTGGACTGCGGAGCCTGTCAAGTCCAACTCGAGAAGAAAAAGCAATTGCCCAATCCTTCGCGCTCTGCAAGCTGCAAGATCCACGATATCACGGCGCGGCATATGCGAATGGAGCAACTATCCCGGCAGTGTTGAAAGCAATTTTACTCTCAACGAATCCACTGGATGTGCAAATCTACTAGTTTGCAGAGAGGGGGAAATAAGGGACGGAGTGGGATCATCGTAAAGCAACAACCCCCCACCAACATCAATGTGTTACGGCCGTGAAAGTGGCATGCTTTTTCGGTGGCTTGGCATGAGTGTGTCCCCAATCGCAGTGCCTCTTTGCAAGACACTTAGAGCGACAAAGATGGCAACAAAGCTTTGACACTATGCCCCGTTCGATTGTCCATGCAGGTCCCGAACACTAGCTGATCGTTTTCGCTTGGAAGGTCGGGCCCGTTCAGTTTCCCATAGGTGTGAGAGATGTGCATTGGTCTGCTCGAGCCTCGGACGCGCTGCAAGTATGTTTGTTCTTTAGCACGGGTGTCTCAATTCGTGGGCGTAAACAAGGCTGTGAGTACGTCAGTTCACTGACACTCCTTGCCGCCACTCGAGTTGCTCATCTAGAGGATAAAGCAGTCGATATCAAGGATACGCTGCTCATCCAAACCCCATCCTTCCCCTAGTAGCACATATCCAGCTCTTTCGTACTTGTCTTTTGATTCGGCGACACCTCCCCCAGCGATATCCTCCCCAGGGAACAGCAGAGCAGAACGCGAAGAAAAGAAGCGTCTTCACTACGACCCTAGCTCTATCAGCCGCCGAGATGGGCAAGCCAGCAGACTTTGCGAACATACTCAATGCAGTGATGTGGGCTCAGGTGGTTCTTGGTACTTTTCTTGTTGCATTGCGAATGTACACGAGACAGTACATTGTCAGAAACGTCGGATGGGACGACGTGTTGATGTTGGTCAATCTGGTAAGTTACGTTGCTTACTCCCAGACAACAAAAGCACCTCTTCACAAACAATCATCTCAACATTCATCGTAAGCTTTTATGACTGACGTTTCAAGGCTACCTTTATTGGCTATGTCGGCTGTATATCGGTCGGTATTACCTACGGTGTTGGTAAACAGACAGCGGATATCGTTCGTCTTGACCTCAACTACTCCAAGTCTATCATGTGGGAAGCCATCGGCCAAGGCATATGCATCATGGGCATAGCTGCTTCCAAAGGCTCAGTAGCGCTCTTCCTCTTGCGCATCGTTCTCAAGAGATGGCATATCGCTATCCTCTGGTTCTGTATAGTCAGCACAACAGTGCTTTGCATCATTACGACAACCCTGTTATACACACAGTGCGTACCTTCGGCATTCTTGTGGGACCAAACAATCAAGGGTGGCTACTGCTGGCTCAACTTCACTGAGGTCGGCCTGACCATGGGTGCTTGGTCTGCAAGCATGGACTTTGTTCTTGCTCTCCTTCGTACGTAACTCTGCTGCGCAATGATTTCGAGGACGACACTGATTCAAAATAGCCTGGCATATCATCATGGGACTAAATATGAAGCGTAAAGACAAGATCGCAATCGCATCTGGTCTTTCACTCGGCATCTTCGCGGGCGCGTGCTCCGTTGTCCGGACTATCGAACTACAATCTCTGTCGTCCTTGGAGAACTACGTATACGACACCGCTAGCATGCTTTTATGGTCCTCTACCGAAGTGTTTCTCACAATTGTTTGCGCCTGTGTACCAGTCCTCCGTCCGCTTTACGTCCGCATCAGATACGGTACCTGTGGCGACTCTTCAGGCCAGAATTCATATCCACTCAAAGACTACTCCAAGTCCAAGAGTAGTCGCGGTATGGATGGAAGCAGAAGGTCAGAGAAGATATACATGGGCCCTGGAGAGAGCGTGTTACAGACAACTGTTCGCATGGGTAGTGATACAGCGAGCGAGGAAACGATACTTCGGGAGAGTCACGCCAACAACGCATGGAACAATGAGCCAAGGACAAAAGATCCCAACGATATCACGATCACTACTACGGTCAGTACGAGGGACGATTATGTATAATTATAACAGGACAAATAGCACACATCAATGCTTGTTTGGAAACACTTATCTGGGGCAACATTTAACGTGACGCGTGTCATCTATCGAATTCTTGATTGTTGGTACAAAACCAGCAACAAAACGCATGGACAGCGATTCTGCTACTTACACAAGCCACGAAAGCTCGCGATAAAGCTATATACCGCTAGCTCTACTGTGGATCAACTTTGTGTCAAGAGGTCTACTTGACATGAGCGACGACAGCACATCTTTCATTTGTCAAGACGGCTTTTATTAGAGCACTATGTGCAACCAACGACAAAGATAGTCAGTATTTTCTCTGACCTCATAGAGCTATTTAGACAGTGACACAAACACACGACGAACTCCTTGGTAGAATAGCGAACGCTTGATACATGTTGTGCGTAAGCGTTTCTTCTGCTCGGGGAGGAGTCCTAGGGAGAGTGTCTCCCCGCACCACCTTCTCAACAGAGGAGAATTGAACGACAGACTAGTGTCTCTGGCCCCTGCCTCCGGAAGGCGATGTCTGTTCCCTTTTTCTTTAGTACTGCAGCTGTGCCTCATCGGTTCACGGCCCCACAATTTTGCCCTGCGGAAGCTTGCAAGGGTCTTGCCGTAGCCGCAGCCGTCGCAACACTCCTCTGTAGATCGCACTCTCCCCTCTTTGATTTTACTTTTTGAGCACTTTCTTTTCTGCAAATCTACAAGGCGTGCTGCAACAAAATCCGCAAACAGTATGTTCCCCACCAGCTCATCGCGTTCCCCGCTCGGGAGGAGTGAGATCCGTTCCCACCTCGGGTCGGGTCATCACCCTCCAAGGCCCTCGAAGAGCTTTTAGATAAGGATCGTTGTGGCTTACCACAAAGCTGCATGACTGTGGAGAGCGAGCTCCATTTTGCTTATGTGATACTCCGACCTACTTCTAAGTGATCAACAGCACTGTCTAGTTGGAAACTCTCGGACACAATTTAGCATGAAGCTTGAGCGTGTGCGTTGCGTCGATTTCCTCCTCACAAATGTACAGTCGCCCTGATCTAGTGTGTTTGGAGACGCGAATTGATTGACCAAGATGGAGAGGAAGAGATGGAAGATATGCAGTTATTTTTTGCTCGCATTCGACTGTGAGCGATGCGCTTGAGTGGCAAATAACGACGAGGCAAAAAACGTTCACGACAATGAGAAAACAGTCCCAAGATCTGTTGCCACCAAAGCGACTGAGAAAACATGTAGCAGTTTGACAGTACAACAGGTCGATATATAAAGATAAGATTCCTTCTCAACAGAACACACTCTTCGATAGTCACGTGGACACCTCCTAAACATCGAGATAGTTAAAATCCCTTAGAGGGTACAGGAGTTTGTGTAACGCACAAGTTTAGCCACGTCTTCGCTCTTCCCAACAGTCCGATTGAGTTGCGACCAAGGTCCGGGAGAGACCGGTCCCACGTCCTTCACACTACGATCCTCTCTGTCCGTCAAGGCTCGAGAGCAATGCGATGGTGTGTAGCTCACTGGACACCGCCCGTGCTGTTCCGGATGGCGGCTTGGTTCATGTTCTTCCTGTGTTTCGGGCTCAACAGTAGTTGATATGGATAGTCGGCGGAGGTCTATCGCTCTATCAGCATGTCTCAAGATGGGTTTCGGCAAAGCTTCGCTCAAACGAAAAAATTGTAAGTGAACTTACTGTTGACTGATCTTTGACGTTGGAACTCCTTGTACTCATGTGACGGAAGATACGCGCCACATCCTGTTGGAGTACATGCGCGGGATGTGGGTGATTCATCTGCAGCGCTACTTCCTGGTTCAGTTCTTGCTCGAGGGTAGGTGTCCAGGGATATTGGTGTGGAAACAGGGTCGCTATGCATGGCTTCGCTGTCGGTGAGCTCGAGCCTGCTAGGCCAAGGCTCATGCTTTGAGAGATCAAGATGAGCACCCATACAGCCCAGCTCTGTCAGATCAAGCCGTTTATCTGGGACTGGTGACTGTCTTCTAGCTCGAATATCGCGACGGAATTGGTCCTCGCGGGCTTGGATGCGGTCTGGGCGAATATCCGATTCCCCATTACTAGACACCATTCTGTCCACATGTGGTGAGACGATGCAGGACGTGAGATTCGCAGGTAAAGAGGCTGAGAGTAAGACGAAGGAATGGTTGTAAGAGTACCAGGCAAAGCGACAATATGATGGACCAGGGCGTCTACTGCAGCTGAGATGATATTGCTTGCGAAGATTGCCAGCACTACGAAGTGTTTGTAGAAACATCGACAAGACTGATCAGACATGGGTATATATACGACTTAAGAAGCGGCTATATAATGTGCTGGCGGCTCGCACATGCTTTTGCGTGGTGGGTGAATCTCTAATCATGCTTCCGACACTCACTCATGCAGGTCAAGTTCCCACAGGAACATGAACAACGAACGTTCCATCAAACCAGAGAATTCGGAGAGACCGTGAAACAGTGTGAGCCAGGATTCAGGAGTAGGTCTATCCTCCGAAACGTCTTTCTTCGCGGACGACCTTACCGTATGCGACGAACGGTAGCCCTGCAGCAAGGCGCTAGTAATCGTTCGCTCCTGGGAATAAGGCTTCAACGGCAGCGCCGGACTGACACGACAGCATTCTCGAAGCTTTTGACACAGGAGCCGTGCGTGTTGAAGCGTCACTGCCGTGAGCCGTTTGCTTCGGCTCGCTCTAACCCATTAGGCTCGTGGTCAGCCCATGTCAGGGCTCATGTGGTCTGCGACGAAGACGGATAGGATCAGGATGCCTGTATTCTATCCGCCGCCAGTAACACACGGGTATACCGACACCTTCGCAAAGTCTGGGGGCCAAGACATCGTGTTTGGATCCTGAAGCCTACATCCATCCAAAAACGCATGAACTACCGGCAAGAATCGATGAAAGCTTTCACCGCTTGTCCTTCTGTTTGTTACCGGGTTCATACGCTAACTACAAACGTTCGAAGAGACTGTCGATCCATTATTATCATGGTGTGCATAGAATTAACACGATGTTGGTACAGTTCGTGCACCCTGCCGTCCCAGTCCATTGGAGTGGGTGGTGGCTGCATAAGCGGAAGACACATGCATCATGGCAAGACATGGTCGAGAATTACTGGCCGAATAATTTGTACAAGTTAAGATCTCTATGGGTCACCAGTAGCAGGGCATGAGCCGATGCCTAGTTCGCGATATTGCGACACTCAAACCAACAAAAGGAGCGCACGACCTTTCTATTCGCGTCCATTTGAGGTACTGAAGTGGAGGTAGAATCGCGAAAGGCTACGGATGCGGTGCAATGATACCCAATCGTTTCCAGCGTCAACTCATGAGATGTCAGACGAAGTAGCGGTAAGCTTCTCCAGTTGACGTTGGTGCTCACCGGAAGCAAGGCGTCTGACCACTGAACAACATAGAGGAGAGATAGTTCCTGCTATTCCAAGTACCGGACTTAGATTCTTCTATGGCGTTGCGGTGTGCTGAAAGTTATTCTACCAACGACTATTCGGACGTGTTGCACAATTCGGGCAATGGTCTACCAGGGTAGTCAACAAGCCTTAAGACTTGGCTGCATGCGGCGTGAACCGAGTTCGTGCCACCATGACCGCGCCTGTCACAAGGATAGACTCGGTAACCACCCGTACGTCTCAGGCTAAGGCATATCTAATCTTATCAGCAACGCCGGGTCAGAGACGACTGTCTACCAGATTGGTGTGCTACGGCCTAATGAGCTTGAACACGGGTCCGCTTCTACACACTGTCTCTGTCTTCCAGCACCCTAAACAAGAAGAAGACTCGTCCGAAGTCCTTGTCATCTAGGAGATCAGACCTTATAGAGTAGCTGCGCTGTGTTCGTGCTAAACACTATCCACTGGGCGAAGGCAATGTTATCCATTTAACTTACCTAAAACTATCCACTAGGACCATGATATCAATGCGGGGTCGGACACGCCGACTTTGTCAGCCTTGCCGGCACGTCATTGTACAGGGTTCCTCCCGCTGCCTGTCTGGGGAATGGAAAAAACGCGAACAGCGACCACAGTGCGGAAGGGGCTGTGGTATGCATTAGATCGGCAACGGCGAGTCCGAAGCTTGACGCCAGGTGATGCGCTATCACAACTGCGGCGCATAGTGCTCCAAAAAGCTAAACGGTGTGTTCACGACGTATTTGTGATGAGAGAACACAATGCACCACCGTGGTGAAGGATGGCGGTGGCCAGGGTAAACGGAGCCAGTGTCGGACCTAAACACGGGGTAGCTAGATATGAACTTCTGGAGTCGTTGGAAGTCGAGATTGGTGTTTCTACCGAGCGGTAATTCTGCAGCGGCATGACGTCAGCATTACTGTTGTAAACATGGACAATCATCAAATGCAAGAACAACTATATACTGTTTTCTCTCTGATACGTTTAGGAACTAAACAGTAAAGTGCAAGTAATGTATGATCATGCCGGAAGAGATAGAAATGACAACACTTACTTATGACTCTTGCATTCTATGCATAGCTGCTTTTCCAGTCTTCTACCCACCTCTTCGCGATAAGTCTCGTCCAAAGTTTTCGAAGTAAGCGTTGAGTGTGTTCGCTCGGTCCATTGTCGCTATACTGTTTGTGAACATCCATACACCAACCACCAAACATCACAACCCTGGATGGGGTACGCATTCCTTTCGACTCGTTACATTCCAGCGCCATATCACTTTTCGACACCGTGCAGAATCCTCTAGCGACACCAAGTTCACTTCTGTGGCTCAATCAATTGAGACAACGAGCTCTTTCCGACGTGCTTTTGCTCTACGTGCTTTGGCTTTTCGACGCGCTCTCTGTTGAGCACGATTGTGCTTCTCGATAAGCTTCAACGTGTGATCGATTTTCAACTCCTGAGGGAAAGTGACAGGGTTGCGCCAGTAGTCCATAGGAGACCCTATGGAGAAGTGAAGCCAGGACTCATCCGCCACGCTTCCACAGACACACATCGTATCGAGTGACACTGTACCATTCTTCATAAATGCGCGGTGTGTTAGCCCGCAGCCTGGACACAGCTGGCCGATACGCAGTTCGCCGTTTGGATGCCGGGATAGGTCTTTGACGCCAATCTGGAGGATATCGGAGCATGCAAATCTTTTGGAAAAGACAAGGCCACATGCTCGACACGTCAGACGTTTGAAGGGGTGAGCTCCGCGGAAGTGAATCAAGGTGTTTTCGGTGCCGCATTTGCATAAGAACGCTCCGTCTGCAACATTCATACCGTGGTTTCGGCGTGTGACGTTCGGGGTTTCCTGGTCGTACCAGAGACTATCATCTGGGATCCCTTCAGCACGACGTGCTTCCCTCAAGTCCTTCTCCAGTCGAACAGCAGATTTGGGCTTGTTCGCAATGCGGAGAAGCAATCGGATGGTGTTGACGACGTGTACTAGCATTCTTGTGTTGGTGGATTGTATATTGGACGATTATTTCGTTTGATTGTTGTCGTCTGTGTTGGTTTGGGGGCCAGTTTAGTGGATATATGATGATTTGTTGGCTGATAGGAGGTTGGGCGAGTCAGAGGGAAAAGCAAGTTATGTGCAGAAAGTAAGTATTGTAGCTAGTTAAAGTGTACCATTATGTAGAGTCAAAATTCAGTATTTTCAGCTAGGCCTCTTCCAATGAGACATTGGCCCATACTATCAGGATGTCGTATAAGGTATTAATCATCATTTGCGCCCTGGCATGAGCACCTGTAGTATCACTCAGAAGCAGACATACGGGCTAAAATAGAAACGAGGTGTTAGACCCTTGGATAAGGCTGGTCCAACAAGTGGACGCTAATTGGATAAGTTTTCTGGTACACCAAGCTACCCCTAACCCCTAGGGTTCATGTCTACAGTATTTATTTTTTCTTCCGATATTTCTACTAAACACTAGAGAACAAATAAACAGTCCTGTTACATTGCAGTCCCCAGGTCACCCGTTTACTGGTGCGCAGGCATGGTTGTAGACTAATAAGAATAGCTTTTGTAAATAAAGTGTTGCGGTTTGCCTATGCTTGGGGCTGCCGCGCGCTCACAACGTATTCAAACTTGATCTCAACGATATCACTTAGTGCCTCCGTGGTGAATGAGATAGCATTAGCTAATGCGTAACACCACAAGGTGTTGGTACTGTTCAGTGTCCTTTTATTCATCTTCTAAACAACCATTGAAGACATGCGTGGATGACACCATTCTCATTTTGTGTCTTACAGACTATCTGTCTCCACTCTTGTCGAGACCTTGTCTTTTTTCAGTCCGGTAACAGTCTCCACGTGATCCGTCCCCAATACCGCCGCCTTTATAAACAAACTCGCTGCAAAACTCAAGAAAGCAAACACCGTGTAGGTGATCCACATGTTGCGCATCGCATACGCGAAGGCTTGTTTCGCGGCAAGCTCCCATGCTGAATTTTCGAAGGTAGCAGGAAGCATAACATTGGCCATCGCACTATCGCCATCAAGCTGACTCAAGAGGTTCTGTGGCAACCCGGCGTCTCGGAGAAACGAAGCGCGGTTGTTCATCGAATTTTGGAAGATGGTGCCACCGATTATGGTCGAAATTGAGACGCCGATATTGCGGATAAAAGATAGAGTTGCAGTAGCACTTGCAACATCATGCTGTTCAACCTGACTTTGGATAGCAATCATAGGCGCTTCGAACAGGATACCGGATCCTAAGCCACCAACTATAACAAGGCCGACTGCTTTAGCTGTCGATGTGTAGGCATCGAAGGAGATAAATAGGCCAAAGCCAACGGTGAGGAGAAAGGTACCGACCCAGATTATCTCGCGAAAATGTCCCGTCTTATGCATTATGAAGCCACAGAAGACTCCCGCGATTGCGCCTGTGACGATGAAAGGGAGAAGAAGCAGTCCAGATCGTAAGGGCGAAGCTTCGAGGACGGCTTGAAAAAACAGTGGTAGATAATACTCTCCTGCGATGAAGACGAAGCCGTGGAAGAAGACAACGAGGAAAGCGGCGATGTTTGTCCTTCGACGGAATAACGTCATGGGAATCAAAGGATATTTCGCCACTTTGGCCTCGCTGTAAATGAATGCAAGGATCATGGCTCCACCCACTACGAGTAGTGCAATGACTTTAGCAGAGCTCCATGGAAATAGGACGCCACCGAAATCCAGACCCAAGAGAATCATGAGTGTAAATCCGAGGAAGGTGAAGATTCCGAGCCAATCTATGGCTTTGATGCCATCGAAGAAAGAGGTGTGTTCGTGCTTGATGTCCAAGAAGAGAAGAATAAGCAAAGCGGCGAACCCGCTGATGGGTAAGTTGATGTAGACTTTGAACCGTAAAGACTAGATGTCAGCGTAGATTCATGAAGCTCGATATGATGGTAAATCGCTTACAGCACCATCTCCATGTCACCAGGCTAGCGAAGATACCTCCCAGAACGGGTCCGATACCACCGGCTAATGCCCAGATGCCTTCCGTAAAGCCCTACGCACGAAGTGTTAGCCGAATCCATCAGCCCAACATGATGCAACAAGCGGCTTACCATTAGCAAACTCCTCTGCCTCAGGCTAAACAGATCGCTGATACAAACATGAACTAAAAGAATGAGTCCACCACCCGCCGTCCCCTGGAAAGCCCGCCCGATGATCAATTCCTGCATCGTCTTCGCCGTTGCACAAACAGCTGAACTAGCGAAGAAGATAGCAAGCGCTGCCAACATGATTGGTTTTCGACCCCAGATGTCAGACAACTTGGCCCAGATAGGGCCAGACGCGGCGTTGGCAAGTAGATACGCGCCTCCAATCCAGGTGTAGCCAGCGGCACTGTTAAGATCGCTGGATATGGTCGGCAGGGCTGTGGCGACGATTGTTGCATCAAGGGCGGAGACGAAGAGCGAGAGCTAAATAGAGTCGATTAGCGAGAAGTTTATTGTGAAGATTCTGAATATGTTTCATCGAAATGATACGATGAGAGGTGAAAAGCTCAGACGTACAAAAAGCGCCGTGACGATAGCGATCATCCTGAACCTACTCCGCTTCCCGTTCCATGCTGCTCCAACTTGCAGTTCATCTTCTGTCCCGCATTGTCCCTTCTGCGTCATTTCCATCTCCTCTTTCCCCATCACGGTTGATTGTGGGGACCTTTCTATATCGATACTGGATTCTTGAGGCATGATTTCAACGAATTACGGTATCCCAACAGGCCTTAGCGAGTGCAAGAACAATACCAATGAGAAATGAATGGGTTAGGTATAGATAAACATGACTACAACTTAGAGGTCTGGATATGTACTGGAGAGAAGTAGGTGTTATTTAATGAAGAAAGGCTCAATGGCTGGAGGCTTGAAGCCCTTTTTTTCCTGCGCGTCACCGCCAACGCCTTTCGCCAATCGGACCCCCATGTGGGGCCAAACTAGACACAACTACTTTCCTATCCGGGCTAGAACGAGCGCCCTTATGTATGCTCTATGCCTACATGCATGCCTTATGTAGCTGAGTGGAATCCGGGGGAGATGCGAGACGTCCTGGTAGGTTGTTGTAAGAAGGTCGATCGGTATTGTTTATTCGGCGTACAGCTGAGTCATACCAAAACTCAACTACTTGGATCATGACTGGCATGATTGGAATGATTGTATGGTCTAGGCCGCAGTGGTATGCATATGCCAAGAGACAGAGTATGCGACGTGGTATTTGTGTGTTGCTTTTTCGTTTTCGCCTCAGGCCAAGAGAAAATGTCTTGGTAGCATGCAATGCACCGCCACTATATCCCTCTGGCATGTTATTTGTACATGGAACCTGGCAACTTTATGTCCCTAGCACGATAATATTCTTAATGTCCCGTCGCTGTAAATGATGGCCATGATTGACCCAAAATAAAAGCCTGGATAATACCTCCACGACAATGATATTACTCTATAAAACTCAAGCTCTCTAATCGTTCCTCGAACCCTCACTTTAATAAGGAATTCCATTAGTAATAAGTTGGAATCGATCATATGTTCCTGTCGAATAGCTTCCCCTACTCTTCTCAATCAGGCCTCTCATATAATCCGCCGCCTCCCTCTCACTCTTGTCCAATACAAATCGATCACGGAAATTCTTCATACTCTCGGGTTTAAAGCAGGGCAGTCCACTGTCCAACATGACCTGTACGACGTGACAAAGATGTTCACAGTGCTGTCTGCTAGCGAGGAAAGCTTTGACAGTAAGTTCTTCGAACCAGCGGTACGCTTGCGATTGATATGGGTTTGCGGAGTTCTTGCCAGACATGACAGCGATCATTTCGGCTGTGAGTTTGAACGGTGCACGTTCAAATTTGATACCGCCGGGTGCGATATCGAAGCAGAAACCGAAATCGATGTGGATAATGTGACCAGCGTCGTCGATCATGATATTGCCGTTGTGGCGATCTTTGAACTGTAGGAGGAAACTGATGACTGAATAGGCAGCCATTGACTTGACAAAGTTGGAGCGTGCCTCCTGGTAGCGAATCGAGTCCTCGTTGCCGTAGCGTGACACGAAGTAGTCGTCGAGTCGGTTAACGGCCTCTCGACCGAGCATGTCACGTGAGATAGAGTTGGGAAGGACGTCGATGACTCCACAACCTGGCGCAGTTGCTGTAACACGGTAGGGGAAGACCCAGACGTCGAGGCCAACGGTATTGAAAATGCCTCGGAAGGCGGCGATCATCTGTAACGCAAGCACGTCTTGACGGCAGTCATCTCCGACCTTGAAAATCGCAGAGAGCCATGTTTCGTAGCTGTTGTCTTTCTTTTGCGCAACATCGCGATTCTCGTCCTCCTGCTCTTCTAGGCCTTGATCGTCAGGCCTGGTCTTTCTGATGCGGAACGTAGCCATGAAAGGTGTCTTTGCGTGACTCTGTAGCGGCTTGCCAGATTTACGATCGATACCAATGACTTGACCATCAGGGTTTGAGGGTAGGTAGACACCGACCTCCACTTGGATCTTGCGAAGTTCTTCTTCAATCTTCTGTTTCTTTACCTCCTTGGGTTCGTGCAGGACAGAGCGTAGAGTACCAGAGATACCCGTGACTTCATTAAAGAAAGCAAACTCGCGCTCGTAGAAGGCATGGTCTTCCTTGGAGAAACTGGATTCCAAACTGCCCATCACCTTGTCAAGTGTCGGTTTGACGGGATCTGGTACCTCAGAGGCCTCATCTTTGTACGCGTTTGCCTTCATGTTCCAAATGATTTGATGGGCGAACAACTGAGAGAACTTAGCCGTCTCGATGATGTAGCGCTCGACGTACCCTAGAACGTCATATCGAAGCGTTTGCACAATCTGGTAGACATAGAAGAACATGACGTCCACAGAATGGCTCTCTAGTGCTCTCATCGCATATTGGATGATAAAGGGATGGTTGCCATACGCTGGAAGGAAGTACGTGACGGCTGTGATAGGGTTTACGGGCTTCCAGTAGAGCATGTACTTGAGCTGGAATGATACGTCACTTGGCAAAAGACTGCCCAGGAGGATCTCAAGAGCATCTGGTTCATCCAACACCTTGTGCGGGAAGTTCAGTACCTGCCATCGCACCTCGGTGTTGAGACGCTGAGATTGGAAGCGTTTGAGGAGATGTACAGCGATCGCAGGATTCTCAGCCCAGGCCGTCTTCAGATGAGCGGACACAGCAGTCTAGCAATATTAGCCTGCATCATTCAGCATACACAGATAACTTACATCGGGAAGTGTGTTGTTATGGCGTCCGGCAGTAAAATGATGCTTCTTGCCATAATCGAGAGGGAACAGCCACACCATAAGACGAGTCTGCTCGTTCGAGAGCAGTAGAGATAGAAGATCCTGCTTTGCCTTTAGTTTTGCGCCGACATCCGCGCCTGTTGTGACTTTTCCGATAATGTCAAGCTGCGCCTGCACGTCTGCAAGGACATGCGTCTCAGCCTTGATCTGTAGTCGATTGCCTCCAAAAGACCATTGCGGTGCTTTTGCGAACCATGCCAGAGCAGCTGTCAGTATGCGATCGGTCAACCGCCACCTAATAGTCGCTGATAAGGTAGTACAATGACGTGCAATACGCAGTCCGAGCAGAACGATATGGAAGTACGACTCGCGAGCAAGCGGCTGCGAACAACCGGCGCTCATCGCTTCAAGCGTAATATGCATCAACCGAACATATACGCGCTCCACATCCGCCCTGCTCAATCGTGAAGCGCTAAAGTGGCTAGACAAAAACTGTAACAGGCGGAAATGCGGCGCGATAAGGTTGTAGATTTGCTGTTGGCGTTTCGAGAGCGCTTCTTTGTCCGTTGCAGCGAATTCTTGCTTCCCGTAGAAGGGATCTTCGTGTCTCAATGCGGGACTGAAGATACCACGACGCTTGCGTACTGTATTTTCCCAATTCTCGGCGATAGCAACAAGGATTCGAGATTCCATACGAGGGTTCTCCTTTGCAACGCTTGTCCACAGTGAGATACCAAGCTTGATAGATTGCTTCGAGAAAACCGCAAAGGGAATTCCGACTAAATGCTGAACGATAGGCGATTGGTCTGTTTTGACCCTACACAGAAGCGCGGCTGCTCTCCGTAGTATGTCACGAAGCTCAGCAATCGTAACATGCTTGTGGTTGAGGGTACGATTCTCCAGGTCTACGAGGAGACTTGTCGCCTCGTGCAAGCTCCGTGAGAGGTAGGTTGACTTTCTTCCAGAGGGTGGTGCGCCCTGGAGCCATTCTTCTTCTTGATCAGCCACACCCTCAAGGAACTTGTACTCCTGTCTCGTCGTGTATTGTGTGATGAAGTCTGACGCAGTGTTGATGTTTATGCCCTGGCGTTCAATGGCACCAAGACGTTGGTCGGTTGACGGAATAACAGATCCCATCTCCAGGGCGAAAGATCGCCCTAGCGAGATGTGGCCAAAAGTCATCTCATCATCAAACTCGGAGAGATAGGACTGCAGGAGTCCTTTCACGTCGAGTGGAGCAATGTCAAGTGCTCCCTTCACCCATACTGTCGCACGCTTATGTAACGCATCGAGAGTCGCTCTTCGAAAAGCGTAGTCGTCTGAAAGTTCTACAACGATATTAGATCGCTTTGATGTAAACGTTGACTTCCAAGTATAATCGTCAGTCTCGCCTTCCAGGCAGCTGTACCACATCATAGAAAGAAGTTCCAACAGGGCGAAGAGTGCGCTTTTCTGACATAGGGTGGACGGTACTTCACGGATGATGATATCTGCACAAGTAGCTGCCGCTTGCTGAACGCGAGCGATGCGATGACAGCATGCTGAGAATATTGTCGCTAGTTGCCTCGCCAAGTATGGGGTCGAGAACGTATGTGACTGACCCGACAGAGTCTTTGCCAGATAGGTTCGAACAGCGGTTGTTGTGATGGCAGCCATACAATTACCCACTGCACCAGTTCGCAGCTTTGGATCGAGGAAGTAGGCAAGTGCTTTAGTGCAATCACCTGTACTTGCGCGCAGGTCTTCGACCAGGTACGCGGTGCTCAAGAAGACTGCTTCTTGGTAACTCAAAGACTTGGTATCAGGCTCGCAGGATGGGAGCAGTTTCCCGAGCCGCTTCTTTTGCTCGACTGTATGTTCTGGTGACTTGCCGCGACGCAACACGGTGTTGAGCTCTATGTCACTCTCGGAAAGGAAAGGTCGTTCCTCAGCGATGAGTGGCTTACTGAATCGCGCAAGAGTGCGCAATTCTTCCCTGTGTTGTTTCCCGAGATCAGAGAGAAGATCGAAGCCATGAACGACAATATTGAACCAGGCATCGCGCTGGAGCCCAATAATGGAGTCGTCGAGCTCTGAATACTCGGCTCGTTCCGCATTTCTTTCAAGCAGAAGCGCAAGAGGCTTCAGCAGCTGCCCAATCTCTTGAGCAGCAAGCTCCGTATCTCTTATATGACGATGCGACGTCTCTTGAGCATCTCCTTTGCTGACTATTGTATCTAGTAAGTGTGTGAGGTAGATCTCAAAAGTAGGCTCATCTGCAGATATCTCCTTGGAGAGGTTGAGACGGGCTGCCATGACAGCTTCGAGTATAGCCCCGTCATCAGAGACCAATGCGTCGTGCGAGAGCTTGGTATAGACCTTGAGCAAAGATCTGAACTCCCCAGGTGGGCTATGGACACCCAAAAAAGCCGAATCGGTAATGATCTTTGCGTCCACAACCTTGCCAGAGCGACCAACTTTCTGGATGAGCATCGACAGCGCCAGAGCCGTAATCTTGGGATCTTGACAATTCCTTGCAACAGAGACGATGGTCTCAACGACAGTGGTGTGTACATGGTGGGGTTCGTCAACATCACTCGGTGCGAGCGAGATTGTACTGCCATTCTGATTATTATACACACCACCTGAACGCGCAGTCTTCCCAGTGCCGTTCAACGTGGGAGACGAAGATGGATTTCGATCGGGCTTGGGAGCAACGCTGATAACGTTGCCTAAACTGTAAAGCGTTGTAATAATGGCGTCCTGGGGGAGGAGGCTGAGAACAGCAGCGAGCGACTCAGCAGCAACGGAAGTTGTCCGATGATCGAAATTGGCTTGAACGATGACTCGAGGAAGCGACCGTCCCAGACTAGACGCCAGCTGCGGTGAGACTTTAGCGAGGATGGCCATAGACTTCAGTACTGTGGAAGCCAATTCATGATCCGCGCTTTGTGCAGGGTCATTGAGTACATTATCGAGCCAAGTGGTCAAAACTTCTGCATCTGTGATATCCGTATCGTCATCGTAAATGGTACAGCAGAGATACGTGACAAGTACCTTGGCTTTGACAGAAGAGGCTTGTTGCTGCTGCCAAGCCGACCCCACTCGTTGCAGGTAGTCCATGTCGTTCTCTAGACGTTCCATCTCCTCTCCTGCAATCTTGGCCAATCCTTCAGCCAGCGAGTTCTCGGCTGCATCCCTAAGAATCTGGTGGTTCTTTCTGTGGAGAGTAGTCTGGAGGTGGTCCAGAACAGACGTTTGTGACGCAAGATGCGAGCTGCTTCCAACAAGCAACGAAGCTGAAGCCAGTACGACCTTCAGGAAAGAGTCGTGCAGGATCATGGCACCAAGTGGTCGCCCAGTAGCAGCGTAGTGTTTTGTATAACGCTTCCACTCTCGAAGACCATGCTGGTGAGAGCGCGCATTACGCACAATGGACAGCACGGTCTCGAATGCGATGAGGAAGTTCTCTGTCAAGGCTTTTCGCACATCCTGAACAAGCTGGAGTCTGTCGTAGGCATTCCAGAAATGGGCATGCTCAGCAGCGGCACCCAGGAAGCCCAGCAGTGACAGACTGTGTGTCATGACGCGCGCCAGCTCGCCATCTGCCGCATAGTCGTCGGCTCCATCATCGACGAATTGTTCTTCCGAAAGCTCCGCAGCTGCTGAGACCCAGCCGGCGAGGTAGCTTCCAAGTGCATTGGCAGCTTGTGTTCGTAGTTGATCGTGTCGAAGGCCGAGCGAGAGGACGGCACGGGTAAGATTGTAGGTAAGAACTTCGTACGGCGCGGGCTCGAAAGTCCGAAGGCTAGGAGAGGGTGTAAGCGTCTGCGTATGCGATGCGGCGAGGTATGGCGAAAGGCGTGAGAGCAGCTTCTCAGCGACATCGATCGACTCAATGTATGGTGCAGACTTGCACAAGGCGAGGATTGCCTCTAGCTCCTGCAGTTTCATGGAGCTCGACGCCGAGCATCTTTTGAACAATCTCGCAAAATCCGATTGCGTAGCCTCTACAGACGGCGACTGCGCGGACAGGCGCGCAAGCTTCTCGAGCGCATTACTCCTAATGGCACGTCTGAGGGCCACGGTCAGTCACAAGTTGCTACCTATCAGCATACAATACTCACACCATCGTGGAAAGGATTGCCAGTTGCTCTGCTGAGCGCTGTAGCGTAACGCGATATAAGAACGCGTAGCGATGAGTTGTCCTAGACCGAGTGACGAAACTACGACTAATACCGGCGTTCGGAGCTGCCTCGACGCTGATTGGTGGCAGCTCCCCATCACCAACACCTTGCCTACCATCAATACAACGCCAGCTCAGGTCAGATGTCATTGCGCTTGATCAAAAGCAAAGAATAGACTGAAGTCTGGACCAACTCGCATTGAATTCGGCCCAGAAGTATGCATAACAAGAGCCATCTAAAAACTCAGTTGCGATCCCCAGGTTTCATCCTATCAATAAACGCCTTGCCAAATCGCACGAGAGCCATCAACGTCCCCAAAGGGACCTTCCCATATGCATGAGCGCCAAAGCAAGTATCGGGGATGCAATCAGTCCCACTAGTCGTCTGCTGGCTCGACCCGTACAAGCACCTCCTCAAGGAAACCTTCCAGAAAGCCCGCGACCTCCCCACCCATACCTACCTCTCCCTTCTCGTCCCATCGATCCAGTTCCTCAAACTTCCCCTTGATTTCATTGACCAGGCGAACCACCTTGTCATGGCATTCTTGCCTTTGTCGTCTGCGTTCGATGAAGCCCTGCGCGTCATCTAGTGATCGAGCAGATTCTTGTTTGTTCTTGACATTGAGATGGTAACTACGGCGAGATAGTGCAGCATCAAGAGCCGGTATAACCACGCCGCTGAGTGCTGTTATCTCGACAGGCGCCTGTGGAGAACCTTGCGTTTGAACGAGGCTAGGGTGGTTAGGCGTCGGTTTGGGCCTACCAAAGGAGCCACGAGACATGGGTGAGGGCTTGGTAATGTGTGGTGGCGGTGGAGGAGGCGACTGTGCGACTTGTTGCTGCTTTGGCGGTAACTGCCAACTCGAGGCCGTCGGGCCGCCAAATGGATCATTCGACGATCCTGAATCAGGCCGCGATGCAGAACTTGGGCTGAAGGATGTGAACGATTGCTGTGTTGGAGGAAGTGGCTTCTGTCCAGCCAGAAGTGGCAGTTCTTGTTGTCCAACTAGCGACGGTAGAGGTTTCTGAGCTTGTGATGAAGTCGGCGCGTGCTGCTGTGTTCGAATAGGGCTTTGTAACGGCTTGGGTGGTTGACTCTGCGAACTGCTCTGTCCAGGGCTGGCAGACTGTCCACGGAATGGTGGTATTTCGGGTATGGTCATCTGCGGCAAAACTGAAGCGCGACTTGGAGTTGGAACTCGCTGTTGTGGTGTAGTTTCTACAGTATTCATCTCCGCAGCAATCTCCCTCTGTACGAAATCATCATAGGTGTGCTGTAATGGTGTCTGTCGTCTTGGCTGTTGAGGATTTGACGGCTTAGTTGGCGTGACTAGTGCTCTGTTGGGTGGCGGCTGGAAGAGGCCAGGTACAGGAGACTTTCGTGGAAGCTCTGCGGCTGGTTGTGGAAAAGAAGGAGCTGTTCTCTTCTCTGGTGATGCTGGCAGCGGTACTCGTGCGGCGGTCCTCACAGGGTCGGGTGAGCCTGGAGTCTGCAGTGGTGCCAAACGCTTGGTCGGCGAAGAGGGTTCCCGAATGGTGTCGTCGTTCTCGTCACCATAGCCACCTCTGTTTTGCGTGACAGGTTTGCGTTGTGGCGAGTGGTTCCTTGCATTGGCTCCAGCGTCATTCATTGGGGCAAGCGCTGGACCTCTAGCACCTCCTGTCGGCCGCACAGTTCCAAAATCCCACAAATCTTCGTTGACTGGCTCCCTCTTCTTCACAGGAGTGGCTTCATCTTCTGACTCGGCTGCCTCTTTTGGATATCGGACTTTCCAGTCCTGATATCGTGAGATGAGCTCTTGCAGACGAGCGGGCTTACCGGCCTTGCGAATGAAGTTTGTCTGTAGGAGTTGCTTTGCGCTCGGACGTTCCTTGGGGTCCTTCCGCAGGCAAAGGTCGACAAACTCCTTGAACGCGGGCGAGAAGTTACCTTGTAGTGTTGGTGGTGGGTTCTTTGGGATGAGGAAAAGAACCTTCATGGGGTGGATGTCAGCATAAGGAGGCTCGCCGTTGGCCAGCTCGAGCGCTGTAATGCCCAGAGACCAGATATCAGCTTTCCCGTCGTAACCGGACTGCTTAATGACCTCGGGTGCCATCCAGAAGGGCGTTCCAACAAACGTGTTCTTCTTGGTCATGGTTGCTGATAGCTGTCCCGAAACGCCAAAGTCGGCGAGCTTGACCTGACCATTCGCGCTGACTAGTATATTCGCCGCTATGTTGACGTCAGCATTCCTGTGCGTGAGTCTGGTTCATTGCACGTACCCTTTATGTCTCGGTGCAGCTTGTGGTCGTCGTGTAGATAGGTCAGGCCCATCAACAGCTCCTTGAGTATGACTGCAATCTCCACCTCTGCTATCTGGCCAGGCTTCATCAGGTCTGCGCAACTTCCGCCTGAGCAGAACTCCATGACGATCCACAGGTCTGAGCCGGTAAGGTACGAGCCGTAGTACTTTGTGACGTATGGCGAGCTCATGCCGGAGAGGATCATGATCTCACCCATAATGTCGTCAACCTCGTCTTCGGCATTCTCCACGTCGATGACCTTGATAGCGACCGTGTGGCCAGTCCGCCGGTCAAGGCCCTTGTAGACCTTGCCAAAGCTACCGCCGCCTATGCATTCTTGCTTGGTGTAGAGGGTGTTCGGATCGACCGACTCGTTGGCGCCCAGATCGGCCATGTGCGCAACGTCGTGTCCAAAACGTCGTGGGGCGTATGTCTAGATGTATTGATGCTGATACAGTAATGCGGTCAGGGCAGGCGAATCGAGGATATGCGCGTGTGCGGTTCCTGGGGTAAAGCGAGGGACTTGGTTGGACAGCGGAAGGGCCGTCGTCGCTACGGTCGCTACGAGGTGGCCAAGGAGCGGATCGAGCAGAAAAATGGCCGAGGTCTGGTGGTGGAATGCGTCAATGAGAGTGCAAGAGGGCAGTGAGCCGTGTGGCAGGCTGCGTCCAAAACAGAGGGCTCCGTGGTCTGCGCCTACCAAAGAGGGCTTGCTTCGTAAACACCCAATTGCGAGGGCAACAGCGAATGGTGGGGGACCGGCAGCAGAAGAATCCAAGCACGCAGATGTCCGGATCTGGGGTAATTGAGCCAGATGGTATCCAAACACGACGAGTTTGGGTCGTTGTATGGGCCGCCGGCGTGGTTGTTGGCCTGTTTACTGTCCCGCCCGCGCTCTGTTGTCATAGAGGGACATGCATGTCCGGCGCGTCAACGTGCAGGGATGGGTCGCGTCCAGCTAATGAGCTCCGACAAAAGCAAGGCCTTCGTATAATTACAAACATCGCCATCGCACCAAGTTCGCGTAGGCTTTGGTTTGGCATTGCGTCCATCACCCTCGCCAATGCTTCGCGCCACACGAACATCTCGACGACGCCCAGCGTGGTTGAGCGGGGTTGATCGCAGCTATGCGTCTCATCGCTTGTCGGACAGTGCTAGGTGATTGGAGCACCATCAACACCCTCCAGTCTCACCATCACCATCACTACAGCCTTGATGCATTCCTGTCTGAATCTCAACTATCCTGCAGAACCAATCGACATTGTGTAAACAAGAATCAGTGACGTCACTTTGTATATAATCCTAGCAAATGGTATACATTGAACTACTTCGCGGCCCTACTCGCATGGAAGAAAGCATATCTTATCAATCCCCCACGCTCTCAAACTGGGTATCCGTATATCTCAGCCGTCAGAAAGCCATAAGTCATATCAGCCATGGCCCAAAATCATTAGCAATACCAAACGCCGCCAACAAACTCCACCGCAAATGCAATGTCCCAAGAATCCCCTGATTACCTTAGAAACGTCTGCGTATCCTCTCTGCGAGCGCAACATCCTCTTCGCTCTCCTCCTCAACCGGTGCTGGTGTTCTTCGTTCGCGTGCACGGTGTGCTTTCCTTCTCCTGTTATTGCTGACATTGCTAGCTGAGTCGTCCGGTCCAATCTCGCTCCTCAGATCATCGACGCCTTCATCAGGATCGCGCATGTTGGCTGGTGTGTCAGTTCTGACTTCAATGCCACCAATTCCGGCGCCCCTACGTTGCTGCGCCACCATTGACAAAGCTGCCGCGCGCTCGCGCAGACGACGGCGCACACCCTCGGCTTGGTTGTGAAGCTGCTCGAATGCGTCTTCCATGGCTTCCATACCAAGGTAGATCTCTCGCTCGATCTCGGCAAGCACGGCAATTTCAGTCTCTTCATCGATCTGCACAGGGGCTCCACCAGGCGGGCGGACAGACCCAGGGCGGGCGGATCCTGGTCGAGAGTATGGACTGGGGCTGAAGTTGCCGTATCGATTGGGAGTTGCGGGTGATGCAAACCGTTGCGGCCCGTCAATGGGCCGGCCTGCTCTCGAGCCAGTCCTGGGAGGGGTCGTGTTCATATCAGGCATATCCTCGACACCTGACCAAAGGAACCCATCAAAGCGACCAGAAACCAGAATCTCCCATTCGTGTTTAGTCACTGCTGCCAGGGTAGCGAGCATGTTGTGCATATCTGGATGGCGGATGAGATACATGACGACCAACTGGTCGCGCGGTGGAGTGTAGAGTCGATATAAACGCTGCAGCGCCAGTCCAGCTTTTGCCAGGTACGGTGGCGTACCGCTGTCCGGCTTTTGTGTGCGAGGGTTCGGAAGTTTTTCCAATCCCCATAATAGTGCATAGAAGAGCGGACGTTGAGGCTGTTCTAGGCGGGTGAGCATGATGAACGTCAGAGTCTCGTCGTCGGCATCTTCGGGGACACCGTCTTGTTGGTCTGATAGCCAAGACTGAACCGCGACCTTGGTCTTCTTTGACTGCTTCTCGTAGTGCTCGCGATACTGTTCGGGTACATCAACATCGATGCGTTGGCATGGTGCTTCCAGATCCGACGATATGCCTAGTCCAGGTCCGGGACCTTCCTCGTAAGGTGGCCAAGTCGGCAATTCGCAACGTCCGGATA